CGATACTAGATCTTGGTGGAAGCTTGTCAAGCGAATATCTGGTCAATCTAATAATATAGCGCCAATTCATTTCGAAAAGAATGGAGTAACTTTGACGGACGATCAATTAGTAAACTCCTTAAATGAATTTTATATCGCGGTGAATGCAGATATTCCTCCCCTTGATATTCACGAGTTGCCAGCATTTCTGCCAGCGGCCGAGCAAGTACCGGTAATACATTCTTATCAAGTCTGTATGAAATTACAAAAGCTCAACCCTTATAAAGCAATGGGTCCAGACAATATTCCACCGCGTCTTTTGAAAGAATTCGCTCATGAACTGGCTGAACCAATTACTGATCTTTTTAACCTTTCTTTATCTTCTGGAATCGTTCCTGATACTTGGAAATCTGCGAATATTATTCCAATCCCTAAAGAAAAACCACCGAAAGAGGAAAGCGACTTACGACCAATCTCCTTAACGCCCTGCATCTCTAAAATAATGGAGGAATTTGTAGCAGAAATGATTCTTGAAGATATCGCACACAAGATAGATCATAAACAGTTCGGCGTTACAAAGGGCACATCTACAACTCTATGCCTTTTAGACATGTTTCATAATTGGCTGTTAAATCTGGACACGCCCGGTCAGTATTTGCGAATTTGTTTCTTAGACTTTAGCAAGGCCTTTGACCGCATTAACCTTAACATCTTGATCACCAAGTTGTTCCTTTTCGGAGTACGAAGGTCACTATATTGCCCTGGATATGCAGTTTCTTGTCAAATCGTAAACAACGGGTTAAGTTGGGTAAATCTTTGCCGGAATGGCTCACGGCGAACGCTGGTGTCCCACAGGGCACAAAATTGGGCCCTATATTGTTTCTTGTTATGATCAATGATCTCGCCCTACCAACCTGCGATTATTGGAAATATGTAGATGATCTCACTGCTTCTGAAGTCATATCCAAACATGGCAACTCAACAATCCAGTCAGATCTTGATTATATATCCTCTTGGGCCTCCGCAAATTATATGAAGTTGAACGTGAAAAAATGTAAAGAGCTAACGACTTTTTTCTTCCGTGATACGCCTATGTTAGAACCGCTAACTATTGACGGAACAGCAATAGATGTTGTTGACTGCCACAAGGTTCTTGGTACTGTATTAAATAGTTCGCTAAAATGGGCTGATCATGTTAAAATGATTACAAAGAAAGCAGCTAAGCGGCTTCACATTATACGCACCTTAAAGAAAAGTGGTATGACCGCAGATGATTTGTTAACAATTTATATTGCACTTATTCGTTCGGTCTTGGAGTACTGTTGCCCAGTTTGGCACACAAATCGTCAATATTTTAACAATATCTATATAGTTATTTATAATCGTTACAACTTGTTGTAACATTTAATGCATGTATGTAGGAGAAAACATGTAAATAGAATATTTATATTTAAATTATCCTGCTACTATATATTTGTTTTTAATAGAGTTACAATACTTGTAAATATAAAGTATTTCACTTCGGTGCAATTTTATATATTTAATAAACCTTTTATTATTATTATTATTATAATGCGGCGAGATGTGAAGCTGAAAATCTAACATCGCGCTCCATCTCGTTCGCGAAGACTCCTTCCGCGACACTGAGAGATCTGCGAGCCAAGAGGGACTCAAATCTGCAAACATCTTGCCAGGGCATCAAAATACCAGAAAGATTGCTGGGCCCTGAGTTTGTGGCCTGGATCACCTACTACACCACCAACAATGCGACCAGGCAACAAGGGGTCCCAAATGTTTTGAGCGAAGATGCCCTGGCCGAGCTTGGGTCCCTCGCTGAGGTGATTCGTAACATCATGGCAGATATCATAGTCCATTGATGTCTTAGCTCCTAGTTAGTGTACAAGTTATAACCAGTGAGAAAGAACAGTCTTGCAAAGTGCGTTGGAAGAAGATGCCCTCAAAAAGAAAGGACGAGGATCACATGATTTCAGAGCAGAATCGAAGACGAATACCGTTTGTGTTAGATGGCAGGATTCTAAAGCAGTAACCTGATGTCAAACTATGCTGGTCCTGAGCCTATGGACAAAGCCCGACGCTGGGACAAGAGCAAGAAAAACTACACCAATGTTGACCGCCCATACATAATCAAAGAGTACAATAACCATATGGGTGGTGCGGATATCATGGATGCACACATCTCCCGATGTAAGTATTCTATTCGAACATGGAGATGGTATCTTATACTCTTCTGGCATTTTATCAGTGTTGACGTAATCAATGCATGGCTCCTGTACAAGCGAGACAGTTCCCCACTGGGAACAACAGGTAAGAGTCTCATGAAACTGCGCCAATTCTAGTCTAAAGTTGCACAAGCACTGATTGAGCATAGAACCACATATATGAACCACGTTCTAAATTGGGGGCAAATTGACGAAATATTTTGTTTGTTTTTAGACTAAAATTTTTCCCAACGATAAAAGATGTCGTGGATTCTCCAGGGTTAATGCTAGAGCACTCTTAAATCTTAAATCCTGGTTGCTGAATCATTAAGATGCGCTATTTATTGCTTCAGTTCTGTGCATATACGAGTTATTTTAGGCAATCTCATGTATGAGTTGTGAACATTGATAATGTAATGTGACGTCACGTGCCTTCACGATTTCACACTCGTCATTGAGTATAGATTTGTGAACAGGCATTCTTTCTTCAGATCCCTTAACATCTTTATATTTATTAGCTTATCTAAAAAGTACTTTGTACACGTAGTAGATGTCGTGTGCCGCAATATATTTTCTTTTTCTTAGGAATTATTTGTTGCATGTCGCTATGAGCTCAGCCTCAGGCTCAGCCATTAAAACGTGTACCAAGCGAGGGGCAGGTAGCTGTCCTCAATGCCATGCTACTTACTATGACCGCTATAAGCCACAAAACTGCCCAATGTGGAACTACAATCTGGATGGCACATACATCCCAAAAAAGAAAGCGCGTTCGTCCATACCAGAATGTACCTCGATAGTTACAGGAGAAATGGCAATATATTCCACAAAGACAAGCTTTCACGACGACAGATGTTCGCTCGTGATTGACAACAATGGCAAAATCTGTCATCACCCAGAGTGCATGCAAGGACATGCGGCTGTTTTAGTAAACAGCAATCAACTGGGAAATTTTGAGTGCAAGCATCTGGCAAAGGTGAAGAACTCTATTCAACCACTGGCAATTTACATCGATTTACCGGTGCTGGAGGCATACCCATGTGATGAAACCACAAAAGCCGCGCTGACTGAAGTTAAAACAAAATGCGGTGAACATTTACCGATTCCAGTTCAGGTTTCCCCAACGATGTACTGCGTTTTTGGAAAGACGACAGCAAACAACCCAGATGGGGACTGCCATGTCCGAGTGACGGAGACCACTGTGCGATGCTGTTCCAAAGATTGCAAGACGATGATAGCAAAAAGCAAACAGCTTAAATCGAAGTATCTTTGCATTCATTTTACCAAAGGTCAGAACTGAAAGATTTAAGCGTTCCTTTATAAATAGATGTCTATCATTTGACTATTTTTAATATGTACTATTTTAAATTACTTTATTAATATCGTAAATACTATACTGTATATATTACCTTAAATTATTTTTGTAAATATAGTAATTAAATAATGTATATTGTATTTAAAATAACTCAATCATGTAAAGACACACGTCTGTTGTGCGTAACGATTTCTGAATAAAGATTTATCATAATAATATGCTCCTGTGCTTGGGTATTGTGAACAAAGATTCAGCTGCGATGGGCAACGACGAACCTACGCACAATGTCAATGCTGAGAATGCTGAGAATTCTGAGAATGAAGACCAAAAAGTTTGTTAATTTATTAAGAACTTGTGGAATTCTAGACGCCCCATTTATAAATGGCAATCTTCCAGGGTCAAAGGAGAAAATGGCGCGATATTAGGGGGACGATAAATCTTAAGACCAACCTGGTTGCTGAATCATTAGGATGCACTATTTATTGCTTCAGTTCTGTGCATATACGAGTTATTTTAGGCAATCTCATGTATGAGTTGTGAACATTGATAATGTAATGTGACGTCACGTGCCTTCACGATTTCACACTCGTCATTGAGTATAGATTTGTGAACAGGCATTCTTTGTTCAGATCCCTCAACATCTTTATATTTATTGGCATATCTAAAAAGTACTTTGTACACGTAGTAGATGTCGTGTGCCGCAACATATTTTCTTTTTCTTAGGAATTATTTGTTGCATGTCACTATCAGCTCAGCCTCAGGCTCAGCCATTAAAACGTGTACCAAGCGAGGGGCAGGTAGCTGTCCTCAATGCCATGCTACTTACTATGACCGCTATAAGCCACAAAACTGCCCAATGTGGAACTACAATCTGGATGGCACATACATCCCAAAAAAGAAAGCGCGTTCGTCCATACCAGAATGTACTTCGATAGTTACAGGAGAAATAATTTCCACAAAGACAAGCTTTCACGACGACAGATGTGCGCTGGTGATTGACAACAATGGCAAAATCTGTCATCACCCAGAGTGCATGCTAGGACATGCGGCTGTTTTAGTAAACAGCAATCAACTGGGAAATTTTGAATGCAAGCATCTGGCAAAGGTGAAGAACTCTATTCAAGCACTGGCAATTTAAATCGATTTACCGGTGCTGGAGGCATACCCATGTGATGAAACCACAAAAACTGCGCTGACTGAAGTTAAAACAAAATTCGGTGAACATTTACCGATTCCAGTTCAAGTTTCCCCAACGATGTACTACTGGAAAGCTGACAGCAAACAACCCAGTTAGGTACTGCCATGTCTGAGTGACGGAAAACACTGTGCATGCTGTTCAACCATTGCAACCACCACAACCATTGCAACCACCACAACCATTGCAACCACCACAACCATTGCAACCACCACAACCATTGCAACCACCACAACCATTGCAACCACCACAACCATTGCAACCACCACAACCATTGCAACCACCACAACCATTGCAACCACCACAACCATTGCAATTACCACAACCATTGCAACCACCACAACCATTGTAACCACCGTAACCATTGCAACCACTTGGCACGAATGTCACCACTGCCGAATTGCTCATGTTGATTGTTCGTATACTCATTTATTTATTCATTTTAAAAATGCTCAAGGGAAACTCCTTCAGCTAACAGCCAATCCGAATACAGCTTCCCAGGATAAAGCAAATATGACTATATTTGTATTCACCACAGCAAGTTGTTTGGGCGCGTGTTTGAAAGACGATTCAACAAATGTTGTAATATTTTTAATTCCCATAAAGTCAAGGCCAAGGGTGGCCATGTTATAACCCTTCCTCTTGCAAAGCAACTAAGAGAGAACACGCCCGTAGCTACCGGAGGTTGGGGGGTCGTCAGCCCCCCCAATAGGTTCAACTTGTTGATTTACAAACAAGTTTAAATTATGTTTGATTGCTGGTAACTATATAATTAAACTAGCAAGTCAGTGATTTGTGATGTCGTCTGGAAACCACAAGTCAATTTTGTCCTTCTTCAAGAGGAAAAACGCTGAAAAACGTTTGTTGTCTGAAGTGGTTACACCGGCAAAACTTCTCCTGGTTACTCCGGCCACGAATGCAGTTAGTGAAAGAAGCTTTTCAGCTTTGAAACGGCTAAAAACGTACCTTCGATCTACTAAAGGAGATAATCGACTCAACAACTTAATGGTGATTCACGTGCATCAAGATAAAACAGACGAATTAGATTTAAAAACAGTCTTTTTTAAATGTTAGAAACCTTTTAACATTTGATTAGCGATAGTTCACTAACATAGCCAGTTGGGGTTGACGAGTGGCTTGATTGATTCTATTTCTATCACCAAAATGAGACTTTCCATCCTCGGCCTCAGCCCCCCCCCCCCCCCAAATAAAAAATTGCTTCCTATGGGCCTGGAGAAAGGGCTTGATTGAATACCTGGCTGGCAACTATGCAGAACTGTTTCCAGAAGGCAACAGATGAGGCAGAAATGGTCAAGCCTGTAGAGGCAGATGACGAAGGTGACATAGGGGATATCACAGAAATTGAACAAGATCTATCAAGAGATGCTGCAAGAGATGTAAGAGTTTCGTGAGCTTCTTCAGTAATTTAACATTCCATTCTTATATTGCCAAATGTCAAGCTCGGTACCTGAAGGATCGAAAACACAATTTGTCTGGAACTGCATCCATTGCCTTGTTGGACTTCGCTGAAAATTATCAGTTTATGGTCCAAATGTGCCTTGTACCACATGAAGGATGGAAAACTCCAGTGTGAGTAGCTATGTGTGATATCCGATGACATGGAACATGACACTCCTTTCGTCTATCAAGTGCAAGCAGAAGTTGTCAAATATTTGAAGAGTGAGCATCCTCGTGTTAATAACATATTTTTCAGATGGTTGTGCTGGACAGTACAAAAACTTTAAGAACATCATAAATCTTTGCCACCATTTCATTGATTTTGGAATAACTGCAAGGTGGTCTTTCTTTACAACTAGTTTCTTTGCAATAAGTCCCCAAGTGATGGTATTGGAGAAACGGTGAAAGACTAGACTTGCAAGAGCAAGTCCGTAAAGACCGTCAGATGACCAAATATTGCCCATGGACAAAATGTTCCAGTATTGCGAGTCTAGCATCAAGGGTGTAAAGGAAAACATGGCACCAGGTAAATGTGGGTTACCAGGTTTGAAAGTGGAAAAACAATTCCTGGCACAAGAAGTTACCTTTATTTCGCGTCAGTTTCTGAAGGGGAAGTTTCTTACAAGAGAGTATAAGTGATGATGAAGTTTCTGTTGGCACATTCAAGTTTTTGACATTGTGTTGGCGGACAAAATTTCTGATGTCAAGATCATGGAATTTATTGCCTGCCAATATGACTCAAATTGGTGGGTTGGATTAGTGATAAAGATTGATGAAGAACAGCAGGATATTCTTGTAAAATTCATGCACCCTCATGGACCAAATAGAAGATCCAGCAAGAGAGGATCTGTGTTGGGTGCCATTTGACAAATTCATTTGCAAAGCGTACACGCCTGAAACAACGACGGGAAGGATGTATGAAATATCCGACAAGGATTTCACTAAAATTATGAGTTTGGACCTTTAAGCAAGGCGCACACTAGGCGAAAACAGCGCTGCGCTAATTCCGCCGCGAATAATTCGCCGGGTGCGCAGTCGAAAAATGCTCCTGCGGCAATAGCGCTCGATATCAAACATGTTTGATATTTTTTTCGCCGCGCACTTTTCGCACGTCGTTTTCGTCTAATGTGGGGACACCGAACGAACTTAGCGCAGGCATTGGTAGCCTATTGGCTATTGTCATTAATACGCATGCGTAATTCCACAAGCAGTATAATGGCGGCGCACATGGAGGTTGTGAATGAAGTGATTCTCGACGACAAATTGGTATAGATTTGTGGTAGGATTATCCATTTCTTTATGACGCATCGTTGGCAGATTACAAAGACAGAAACAAACGCGAAAAAGCTCTGGACCGAAATAGCTTTGGCTCTCAAAAAGATGGTAAATTTCTTGCGAATTTGCATAATTATCTGTCTTGTCTTGTGTTTCATTTACATAAATCCTTGCCTTATCAGCATTCATTTATTCTTGGTTTGTATTAAAATTTTTGTTTATATGTACTGTGATCTCATTTTGGCACATTTTTCTCCTGAATATATTAATGAACAGTGTGTATGTAGTAATGAACAGTGTGTAAATCAAGCATCAATATTTCAGCCTTTAACAGTACTGTAAAAGAACTATTACAGTACATTACCATCACATTCTTAGCTATCAGTATAATACTGATGAACTATCAGCAGCTATTATAATTTTGTGCAAGTCTAAAAACCTGAATTGAGGTATATCTACTCAAGTCGATGTAACTTTTAAGGTCTTGAAGAACAATTGATGAAACTTGCCTGAAATACTAATGAACATGTGCACTTTAAGATGGTTATGTCAAATAAGCTCTACCATGTCAAATAAGCTCTATCATGTAAAAAATTCAATTTGTATGACAATAACATATTACCTATAGGCTTTATTCAATTTTAAGTGTTATTTTTTGCATTCTACACCATCAAATTGGGTAAGTACCCAATATTCATGAACATACAGCAAATAACCAGGGTTTAATTAATAATTTTATGATCCGCTACCTAAGAAATTTTGTTCGGGCCATGCCTATTTTTGAGAGAAATGACCAAACTACAAAATCCGATAAATGAAAGGCTATTTAAGACACAAGTCTGAAATTTTGGATTTTTACATGTTTCAAGTTGACGATAATAGTACACTGGGATAAATTGACAGCGGACTCGAACTCAATTTTAGCGAAGTACTCAGCTCTTTTTTAAAATAATAGCGGTATATACCCCATGTAAACAAAACCAATTTGAATAGCTAAATATTACAACACTTCACAACAGCATTGTGTATACTTTTTATCAGAGTTTTTTTTCATCCTTTACCAAGTTCTCCCTATAAAATTGTTTTTCTTTCAACAATTTAGCGGATAATTATCTTTTCCAGTATTGCCTTTTGTTAAACTCACCCACCAATTGCACAATCTTATTTTTGGAATGAGGGAATATAATTTACTGGCTTCTAAAAATTTAGCATGTGCATGTAGTTTGCCAAAGTTTCTATTTAAAAGCAGGGTTTTCACCTCCAATTTATATACCGGAAATTGCTTGCCAACTAAACAAATGGTGTTCTAGAACTTTTCAATCAAGCAATTCAACCACCTCCTTTCCAAAAGGCCTGCAATATACGTACATGACAGAATGGGTATAAAAAGGCCTTATTTTTGTTTTAATCAAGCATTTTACTGCTTGGTGTAATGTACTTGCCAACTAAGGCATATACTTAGTATAAGTTGCAGTATTGATAATTCAAAAAGCCTTGCAAAGGTCCAACAGCAAGAAAAGGCCTTTACTTGAAATTATCACTTAAAATTATTTTCACAATCCGTCTAGAAAGTATTTGTACCTGCTTAGCAGGAATCCTTTAGCAGTAGCAAAATAGAGCTACCTTTTTATACATTTTAAAGGTCATGAGCATGAATTAATGCTCAAGATGTTGTATAAAACACCTTTGAGTGTTAATGAATCTGTTACAGTACTTACAATGGTGGAAAGTCAGCTGAAGAAACTTTTCTTTTCACTTGTCTTGCACAGTCTCCATACTGGTGTCCTCCAATAAAGGCTTAGTTGATGCAACAGTATATGATCCTTTTCCACCTGCTGTTTCTGCTTCTTTATGATCATATGGTTTCTCCTTCAGCTCTTTTAATCTGGAGAGGTTTATTATTTTATTACCAAGAAGAAGAAAAGAAGATGGAATACATGCAACACATAAATTCCAATTCAAGAACCAACAGCATGTATTCTGGTCAAATCAAACTTCACATTTCTACCTAGAAGAGCCAGCAATTCATCATTCCCAAATTATTGTGGCTGGCTGGTTATAATGAGAATGACAATGCATTGAGGGACTACTTGAAAAAAACAACAAATTACAATTCCATAAAACAGATTCACAATGCATTGTCAAGCTCTACTCCTGTGATTGCCTTATCTATAGAATAAACTGTATATTCTTGTTCGTATATACCTTTTCTTGTGGTTCTTGGATTTCATGTGATTTGTAAGTGATATTTTATTGACAAAATGTCTTCTATTAACAAAATTGGGAAAAACGTTAAATAAAGCTATGGACGTTAAAGCAACTTCAACTATTTTTTTATTTCCAGATCTAGTTTATTTCCAAATAATTATTCATGAAACATTAGTCTTAGAATAGCAAGACTCCCTTGATTTTTTATTTGTGTTTGTTTCAAAAGAATTTATTTGTGTCTATTCCAAATATTTTATGACCCCCAATCATTGTCTATGTCATTTTAGGGTCTTTTTAAGTAGAATTTTATGCCAACTTTACAAGCACATAAAGCCAGAACATTTTTAGAATACAAATTTGGCTGCATTTTCGACATTTTTCAATATTCTGCAAACAAACTATCCCAAAAAAGCCTGATAAAGCCATTGTTAAATTTACTTTAAAAGGGGAATGAGCTAATATATCAACTTCAATTGACTGAAATATTTTGGATCACAATTCGCTATTTGTGGTGGTGATTGTTGTCAAAAGATGCCTGACCACCTTGATCATGCTTGATGGTATTGTAGATGTGGCAGATGAGATGCCCACATAATAAATTGATTCACTAGTATTCCCAAAGTATATACTAACTCTTGCCTTTCCTCGAAGATAAAACTTCGCTATACTTACGCACATCCAAGGCAATAATATTGCCCACTGCCAGGAAGATCAGGATCATTCTGTGACAATAATTTCTCCGAGTTCTCGGGTTCTAAATCAGCGTGGATTTGATCAATGTCTTTAGTTCTACGTTTAGTTCTGTATTTTTTCTTCTGATCCTTGATATTTTTATGCATTCGTTTGCGGCGAAGACGCCCCATTATAGTAATAATTTTAAAAATATATTATTTAGGATCAAGCGAAAGTTTTTATCGTTGTCTTGAATGATTTTTACAGCGAAATTCGTTGAAAATTACCAAACACACATGGCAAATTATTGCATTACAAGATTGTTGGTCACGGTTGGAGTTGGAGAGGGTGGAAACTAGTGCTATGAAATGGTTTCCCCCCCCCTGTCAGTAAAATTGCCAAAAGTGCTAGTTGTGTTTTGCGAAATTCTCTGGCCAAAACGGAAAGTTGTTTGAATAAATAAAATATATCAGGACAATTTGTGATAACTATGGAAAAAAGACATTCGATGAGAGGTCCTCTTCGTGCGAAGGATTTTATTTTGCGAGCGTGATGTTGTTCTTCAAGCAAATGACAAAAGCCCGGTTTCTCATTGACTGCGATTTGCGAATTTTCCTGAGACTCTGAGTAAACGGCGAACGCTCTCGAATAAAAATTCCATTATATCCATATAAAGAATGACATTCAGTATGGACTATGGAAGATATTTACTATAGTTTGTATTTTAAGAGAAATAACAATGTTTATTGTTTGAAGTATTTCGCAGATCACAGACCGCAATACGACGCTGCAAAAATTTACATTTTAGCAATGCGAATTTTAACTTCTGCGAATTTTCTCCACTCAAGACTTGCTTGGGAGTTGGGTCAAAATCCGTCAAATTGATCAAAAATGACTAAAAAAGAAAAATCTATTGCATGGGATCTTCGAAATCGTGAAACGGATTTAATATTACCAAAACCTAAGAAAAAATTTCTGAAAAGACACAATGCCAATGGCGCTTTCCATGCATTCGAATAATCTACCTTTGAAGCAAAAACTGCCGATTCTATTCAAACATTAAAGCCTAAAGCGGATAATAAAATCTATCAGTTTGAGGTGAAGCTGACCTGTCCTCATTCTCATATCGTTCTTTGTCTATTGCCTATTTGTTGTTTAATCTTTTTGTCATCCCTGTACAGTATGTTTTATGTAATCTATATTGTTTGTATATTCTTAATGCAAATACGCCCGTCATGAAAAACAGCAATGCTGAACAGCTAGACCGGTCCTGTTGTATTTCGGAACAGACAGACTGCTGGTATTTTTTAGTGTTTCAAGAACTCTGTTGTTATGTACATCTGCCCAGCACGAGAAATGCAATTTTATTGTTAACGAAGGCACCCGTTTGAACTCAAAATTTGACCGGTCTGGCCGGTCTGGCCTTTGACCTCTTAAAAGAAAGCGCGTAAAATACCTCCTCGGGGAATGCTCAAAAAATTGGCGAAGATCTCTCTCACCATAAAAATAACCTTAAATTAAATAAGACTCGTTTGACTAATACAGCCATATTAAGCTGAACCTCATAAGCCACAACTATAAACAAATCTTATTATTATATGAAAAGGATCTTTCATTTGCAACGTTACATCATCGTTTTCAAATCGTTCAGATTCGTCCGTGAGTAACGTTTTCAGTGGGCGAAAAGGCCAATACATTTAGGACTGATGTATTTTTCCTATGAAATTCTCTCATATTTCAAATTAATGTTCTCCTCCCCTCTTGTAACATGAAATACAAAATAATTTCTGAAATAATATCGGTGATTGGTTGCGGTCATTTCAGTACTAATGCATAATGTCTGATTTGGAAAAGAATACAGGGGGGGAGAGCAACTATTAGAAATACAGGAGAATATAAGAAAAAATATCTTCTGTTTCATATTGTCGCCTCTATGTAAAAGTGTTACGCTGCATCGCGTGTAAATGTTTGCGAGTAGGTTTCTTTTTATCAGCCAATCATATCTCGTCTTTCTTAAAAATAGTGCTTCCATCGGAACAAGATTAAAGGCTTAGATTACCATTCTTGAATTTTAGTGAAAAATAAGTAAGTTTTGTAAAAGTGTAGAAAAATGTTTACCTTGTTTTTTTCGAGATTTCACTAGCGACGATTTTTCGACACAAAAAATCTAATTCGATATTTCGAACGTAAAGCCGGTTCCCTCATACGCTTGGATGGGTTTTCAAATTGAAGCCATCAGATGAAAAACGAAATTATTTTTGCACATTTTCTAAACTATGTAATTCAGATCCCACGACACAATACGATATTTACTAATTTATGTATACATAGTGATGCATGTGTTATTTTAATCTCTAAAGATGTTTGCATGCTTGGCGGAAATAAGCTATAAGTTCGAATGAGGTGCAAATATGCCTAAAATTTAATTCCCCTAGTATAATATCCCCATTTTATAATATTTAATAAGTTAACCTGGGCCCCGCCTATATAGGTCGTTGCTACCGAAATGATCTACAAATACTACAATCTGGGACAAAACCCATTCTAATGGATGAATTAATCCCGATTTTATGTCCAACGCTGAAATGTTGTCTCCCTAAATCAATGTTACGTTGTGTCGACGTGAGCTTTGCACAAGAGTGCATGGGGAAGGGGGATGCAGGCGCAGAAATACGGCGTATATCTCAAATTACACGACACAATGAAATACTTGGGGAATAATTGGCAGAGTTTCAACTGGTTTTGTCCAAGATTGTAGCTAAGCTCACCTAGCAAAATGAGCGTCCCTGTATCTTCTGAACTCTGTGATAATTTTAATTCAAGAAAACGTTTTGGGCCTTTTTTTCTTTCTTGCTTTTCCTGCTCCCAAAATACAAAGCGAGATCAGTAGTTCACCAAACTCTGCGATAGATATAACTGAAACTCCAACACAGAGCCCCATTAGTCCGCCAATGTCACCAAAGAGGGACGCCAGCTAATCAAAGGAAATAGTACGATGAATGAACTTCAGGGATATTAACTTGCATTACCCTAAAATCTCTCTATACTTACATCGTAATATGTGGATTGGACAACTGCTTTATGATTTAACTCGTTGTAAAAAATTTTGACCCGTACGAAGTCCTTGCTGGAAATTTGAATAAAGAGAGTAAAAAATAAAAAATTGGAAAAAGAAGATTATAACTACGTCATATTTTAGTTCCATGTAATACTCTCTCGTGTAAACGATAATTATACGAACTCAAAATCAAACTCTGTCTCTGTGCTGTTGCCAATTTCTTTTCTTTTCCTTTTCTCCTGTGAAAGAAAGAGCACAGGTTCGCTGTTTGGTTTCACGAATTAAAGATTTTTATAGTCGTTTCTAGTGACGAAATCACGAGTTATTCGTACCCTCGCTTTTGATGTCAATGTAGACGTCATTAATGTGTGAAGGAAACTGTTTTGTCTGCAAAACAGATAAAACAGGATTGTGTGCTGTGAAAATTAACCAGTTTCCCTGACCAATGCTATCAATGTTACGTCAACAAAAACTTGTGCAAATGAAAAAAGCAAAGAACTCGATTACATGATTTTTTCCACAATGATTTGTTCGCCGTAAAAGGGTGAAAAAAAAGTCTTTTTGAATGAACCACTCGAGGCAGGCGCCTATATAGCTCTATAGTGGATTTGCATAGCCAATACGCGTACGACTTCTTTTTCAAGCATTTAAAACTAAAACCCGCGCCAAATAGCAATTTTCTCAACATAAATTTTCTTAACATCATGATCAGGGAAGCCGAAGAAATTATGTCCTTTAATGAAATACACTCTATATTATTGTTAAACTTACAGGCACGGTTGGGGACATTTCTTGGAGCATCCCAGTCTACTGTATTTGAACATAGTGCTGACTTCATTGATACAACGCACTTAAAAATGAAAATCACAAATATGTCAACGCGGGAGTCAGTATAGACGGTGTATCGAAGAGTTTTTACACACTTACTTTCCTCTGGTTTGCAAATCTTTTTAACATGAATAGCATACTTTGCTGCACTGCAATTACAACGTTTAAGTTGGGCGTTTGCCAAGCACGATTGCATACACGCCTATATATGCGAAAGAAAAAAAATAAAAGTTGTCTCGAAAACTCGATTAATTTGCTATTGAACGTTTATAACGAAATTATTTTATTTGATAGTTTATTGATTGCCTGTTCAATTGACAGGAAATTTATCTTATTTTTTGTATAATTAACTTGTAATAGTGTCAGAGCACAGTGCACGTGATTGACGCCCAATTCTTCATTAGCCAGCCTCGTAAACTCATGTGACTTAAATAACTATAGGTATTAATTAAATAACTATAGCATATATAAATTAAATATGGGCAGGCTACAAGCTTTTACATAGATCAGTAATCTATGTAAAAGCCTGTAGTGTGAGTGTGCCTATTTTTATTTATAGTTATTTAAACCATGCACCCGGTAGGAGGTTGTTTCGAAGATGGTTAGACTTTTGAGAAGTGTTGTTTACAATTTGAATTTATCAAACACTAGGTTTTTCCATGTTTTGCTGGCTTTGCAAATTTTCTCTACAGCGTTTCTTGGCTAAATTGTTTGGGTTGTTTTCCATTATATATAAAGAGATTTTATTCATTTCCGGGGTCGTCGATATAGAATATCTGAATGAGGTGCTTATACCTTCACGGAATACGTTTTAACCGAGCCACTTAAATAATTTCTGTAAATATTGTTCTTAGCAAGGAAAGGTGATGAATTGCAGCTGCCATTCTTGAATGGATCCACTCTAGTCATAGTCTCCTAGAATGAACGAAATGTGTGTTGCGTTTTTTGGGCGTGGCATTATATTATACACGAAGTTAATTAAGTTATAATAAGGGGAGTTTTCTCATCTCTGACACAAAGAAAAAAGCGATTCCGAATGAATAAAATTTAGTTTCGATTTCTGGTGTTTCGATGAAAAAAGAACGGATAACGTAATTCACATCAATACCATTCTGATGGCCAGTGAGGAAGAAAATCCTGGAGGAACAGTGATTCCCTCATAATAAGGAAATGGTAATTGTTTTGCATTGTGAATTGTGATGATTGCCCCAGCTTCGTCAATCAATGCGTCCAAGTACTCATGCTGTTCGATATTTAACTCAAGAGTAAGGCCTATAAAAATCATTGAATGATAATGAATGTTATTATCATACGTCGACTTTACTATGATGTGGTTTCCATTATGCATCACACCTACCATTGGACGGCCCAGGTATGCGTGTTTCTTGTATGCCCATATCGTGGCCAGTTTGGTTAATTCCAAAATTGAATGTAAAACAGTTACCATATCTCCAGTTCCATGTTTGCACCCAATATTCTTTAAAAGCACTGTAGGATAAAAGTAAGCATTAAATTTTGAATAATTTAGAAAGGTTAGATCGTTTATGAACTTCGAACTACATTTTCTAACACTGATTAGCAGAACGCCTTGTTGGTTTTCTGGTAACTGCAAACGACGAGTTAGAAGTGTCAGTGGAATACATAAAACAAAGTGTTAAAACTTTTCACAAATAAAATTGATCAAAAAGAGATTAATCTAAGACAATCAATTTTAAATTAGTTGCTTTAACAACATGTTTAATTGTTTTAACCAATAAAAAATTTAACAGTCTTACTGTTCTTACAGTACAACCTGCGCCCAGAGAATTTTGGGGGCCCCGGGCAGAATTCTTGTTACGGGCCCAAAATTCACAGGAAAAAACACGCCATAGTAATAATGCATGATTATTAACATAACGCAATAATGCATATGACCTGACCCTTGAGAGGTGTAATAAAGGTAAATATTGGGAGATAGAGCACTGTTGGGGGGTTGGAAGTTTGGGGCATCCTCCCACTAGAAAATGTTGAAATTTTAGGGTGCAGCAAATGCAATTTCCTGCATTTTGGGGGCGCGTTTTTTGCAATATCAAATATATATTGCTTCACCTGAACTATAAATAAACCAAACTTTTTCTGAAAGAGGACTATATATTTCCAGCAACAGTTTCTTTTTATTTTTTTAGCATTTTGGGGGCCCTTGCAACCCTGGGCCTCGGGCCAAATTGCCCAGTTTGTCCCCCTCTGGGTGGCCCTGATGGGAATGTATAATCTGATTAGCGTTACAGCGTATCACATATTACGAACGAATGAACTGTTGCGGCACGATTTTTTATTGCTAGTATGACATCATTAATATCTATGTTTTTACAACTGCATGAATCTAAACTGTTCTTGCGTTTTCGTTATTTCATGTAATTTCCATTCTCAAAACAAAAAAGATGCATCTGCCGTTTTCCATTAAAAACGTTGCCGTATGTTCAATTTTAATCGCGGACCACTTTTTTCCGTCCGACACACATCTTGTTTTCAGCTCCAACCCCCCCCCCCCACATACTCTCCCCCTTATGTGCGTCCCTGGCCGGCTGCGCCACTAATCTATACTCAAACTACAGTAGACGAAGACAACATATGATGTTATAAGATGAACAGATTCACCCACTATTGCAATCAAATATGCCCCACCTACAAGACATAATGAAATTATGGAATTGATGACCAACTTTTTTGAGATTTTCTTCGTCATGCTTCGAAGCAGCCATGGCAAATAAGTCTTCAAGAATCATATATTTATTAACACTGATATCCCTTCCTTTTTCTATATTATCAGCAAACATTTTCTCATACGCTTTGACCTGTCTTTCGATAATGTGCTTGAGACTTGAATTGACCGTTTTATTATAACGGTCGTCGCCGAAATGCGCAACAATCTCTTTCAATGCTGACATATTCATGATTCGTGATTTTCGAAATGGGTTGAGGTTGCAAACTGTCACTGCAGGAAAATGGATTTTCTAAATGAAAATTTTGAATTTTACATTTAACTATTATGTCATCCACGGTCCTCGGAATTAAAATTATATATATATATATATATATATATATATATATATATAATATATATATATATATATATTATATATATTTATATTACCGGCTTTCACTGCTTTCGCGAACTTTGCCCACAATCGCGTTCATGCAGAGAGCTCACAAACGCTATCAGATCAACTTCAAAACAACCAATCAGACGCTCTCAACGTATACAGAGTCTTAAAGAATAGCGCAAAACTTGGCGCTATAGACACATGTAAATAATTTAGATATTCTGAAGAAGTCTCGAAGTACCGAGTCGAAAACTCAATATACATAGTCATTATCATTAAGTTTATCATATAAATACATATATAAATACGTAAGTATCGATCAAATGACTGTACTGCATATGTTAAAATTATGGGAAATCGTTGGGCATACATATGTCTTGAAAATTTTTAAATATATACTGATATTTCGTGGACGAAACCTATATTACTCGTCCAATTGTATAGACCTCATGAGATACAAACCTTTTCATAAAGAATATCCACTTTAGTTTTAGTTGGTTTATCCATATACGTGTTAATCAAGATTGAGGACATATAGATAGTAAAACTGTAGCAAGTTGCACAGATCAAAAACCAAACAAATCGACGCAAATGGCCACTTGACAAAGTTGCCTTTGCAATCCCGTGAGAGCTCGTGTCAGATGCAAAATCTTTAAACAGTTTCTTGAAGTCATTATGGGAATTTTCTTCTACTGATTGACAGGAATTGTTTTCTTTGGGTTTGTTGAAATTTTCGTCTATATCGCCATTGAACATCTCCACTGTGAAATACAGATTGAGCAAGCATTCAGCTAAAAACGAATTATTATATCAAAAACTATTACTATAATTACAAAGGTGATTATTGTAAATTCTGGCCTCTGATTGGTAGAGCCACCTCGAATTATCACGCGGATTTTTCAGATGAAGAAATGCGTTATTTTGACGAAACTACTGAAAAACTATCTTTAAACTTAGGGAACCGGGAAACCAGGGAACAGGAGGACGGGCGAGCTGGGGAACTGGGGAACAGGGGAACATAAGAACAGGGGAACAAGGGAGCCGGGGAACAGGGAAACGGCGAACCGAGGAACAGGGGAACCGGGAAACAGGGGAACCAGAGAACGGAGAAACTGCGGAGCGGGGGACTTAGATAAGGGGGAACGAGGAAATCGCGGGGAGAGGGAGCTCCCTAATTCCCCCGTTTCCCCGTTCAATCTGTTCCCGGTTCCCTATTTTAAAGATAGCCACACCTGAAAACAAAAATGAAGTGAAAAATTAGGGAAAAAATCATTTTCATGGAAAAACTACTTTGTAGAACGATTTTGAACTTTAGTTTGTGAAGATATTGCTTTATTTGAATCGCCGTAAAACTGTCGAGATATTTGTTTACGTTTGTTAAAACATGTATTTTCTACAACAGATTCGTTTTTCAAAAAATCACATTTGTAATTATATTAAAACAATTATTCACCTCGGTAAATATCATTAAATGTAAACCTCGACTTCTTCTCTGTTTTTATTCAGATTAATTCATGCACCTCGCCGAATAATTAAGACGACTGATCCCGAGGGAAACATCATGTTTTGTAGAGATGAAGCAGAGGGACATGGTGATCGAGGGTTCGAAAAACATGATGTTTCCCGAGTAGGTCAGTAATAAGTGTTTTATTAGCAAGATTCAAAGGAAACAACGGGTGAAAATACGGGAAAAAAACAGAAAAACGCAGGCAAAACTAACAGTCGAGAGAAACTATTCATTTTAAATAGAATTCGGCTGAGGTTCAAATGTCGTATATGTCGTGGGATGTGACGTAACATTACGACCATTATCACGAAAATCTGGCGAAATTAAAATAAAGGCAAAAATCAGCCATGTTTTTGTTCCAAAAAGATGGCGGCAAAGTTACTGAAATTTGAGAAGCACTTCCTCCAGGAATTTTGATATAGCTCAGTGGCTGATGTGCACTATAATGATGACGTCAGAGAAAATGCAACATATTTTGACACGTGACCGGCCGCCCAAATTTATGCGATTATATCTAAAAATTTAAAGCTCAAATTCTTCACTTGGGCGACTACGAAAAAGCAGAACATTTTTTTCACCTGAATCCGAGATGTTGAACTATATATAGTTTTAAACCGTTCGATATTCAAGAGTTGTATGTTCTTAACAGGTAAAAAAAGTGTGGCTGCAAATATCGCTTTTTAAACTTATTAGAAAAATATATCAAAGACCGATAATTTGATCGTGATAGACGGCTGTAACACAGACATGCAGATATGCATGATACTGATACTTTTCCCAGTTCATTCTTTTGATTATTGGCTGTGATAAAAACACTCAAGACTAGGTTTAAATATTCTCAAGTAGCTATATGTCAATTAAATAAAATATTCCGTTACCATGCAGCATAAGTATAAAGTATTAATCACAATGAGAAAGACTAGGACATTTTACTTACTTTTTCACTGGGAGTTTTTTTTTCAAGCATGAACAATACGTTTAAATCGTCCAAAGTATACTGACGCAGTATAGGTGTTATACTTCCAAATTAAGCATGAGTAAATTGAATCAGTCTATTAATGTTAAAAATGCTCTTTAATAATGAAAGAACACACAGCCAATGATTTTTGTTATAACGTGTTACGACGATTGTTCTTGACTGGTACCTATATCACTCACGCATATTCGGCGCCGCGCATTCAAAGAAATATATTCAACAAATAACCGATTCTGTCGAGGTAATAAATCTTTTTCCAGTGTTTTACCGATTTATAGAAATACTTTTGCAAAGTTTTGTTCTCACTATGTGTCATAAGTGTGGCTATTTTACAAGCACAAAATATTTTTTCGGTATCGGCAATATATCATTTTTTAGACCCTCCGCTCGGGGGGATGTGGTGAAATATTTCCCCCAGTAATGTATTAATTTCTCATCATCACTTCGCCGAGCTCCCTCACTCCAAATCTATAAATGATATAAATGTAACACATCATTTTCATTATGAATGTCTAATATGTCATTTTATATACTGTCATTAACTGCAAGCTAGGCCACCAGCAAATGTTTAAAACGTCAAAAATTAATATCAGTAATTTGGCACTGATCACAGCTATATTATATTCATGCACTTCATCTTATGCGCGTATAACAACCAAATATCCTCTTATAATTTTAATTTACGACGCAAAGTCGCGAACGTGAAGACCAGGGCTTTGTTTACTACGCCCTGGTGAAGACAAACTATAGTATACGCGTTTATCCACGCAGTCAGTATATATCTGAATAGAAAACTGGTTCCCCAAATGTTGTTCGAAGTTATAGGATCTATATTATAATATACGGATTATTGACATCTTTCTAGTTAAATTGGTTGTTCAAGTTGACTTTTTCAATAGAAAAATGTAATTTTCTGGCAAACATTTTCCCTAAAATACGATGCTCTCGCCACTTTTTGAAAGGCGTCTCTTCCAGCAGAGCTGTGAGAATATTCAGTTTGTATAGGTATATTATCAGTGATGGCGAGTACAACTCGGGATTAATAGTACATGCACGTTTACTGCATGCCTATTCTTTCTTTTACTGATTGATGCGTACCCAGGGCTGGGGGCACGCCTTCCTGGTAATATAATTTGTTCTATGAAGATAAGTTATTACCGCCGTTTCCTTACCAAAAAGTCGCGTATATAGCCTTCAGGCCTATATATAGCCTGAACTAATTGTTATAATCTAGACGCCATCTAATTATCTACCTCTAATTTTAGAATTATTCAAGTAGTTTGGACAGACGCATCGGGAGATTTTGCCTTTCTTACTCCAGATTTTCGCGATGCCAAAATACAAAGAGAGATCAGAAGTTCACCAAACTCCGCAATAGATATAACTGAAATTCCAAACCAGAGGCCCATTAGTCCTCCAATGTCGCCAAAAAGAGTTCCAACCTAATCATATGGAAAGAAATAGTACTATGAATGAACTTCAGGGACATCTAATGTCTAACTTGATACATGACACAGTAATCCCTTTACCTACATCGTAATATGTGGATTGGGTGACTTTCTTATGATTCAACTCGTTGTAAAAAATTTTGACCCGTACAAAGTCCTTGCTGGAAATTTGAAGGAGAAAAATAAAAAATAAAAAATAAAAAAATTGAAAAAAAATTGTGCGCCGTATTTTACTTTCGTATAATTTTCTCTCGTTGAAACGATGATTATATATTACTAACTCAAAATCAAAATCTGTTTCGGTGTTATTACCAAATTTTTTCCTTTTCTTTTTATCCTATGGAAGAAAGAACACACGTTCGGCGCTCCATTTCAGGAATTTAATTTTCATTAGTGAAGTCGCAAGAATTATTCATACCCTGGCTTTTGATGTTAATGTAGACTTCCCTAGTGTGTGGAGGAAACTGTCTTGTCTGGAAAACAAGTAGAGCATGTGCAGGAAAAAATTAACCAGGTTCCCTGCATGGTAGCCAAAGTCCCCAATGCAGTACCAACGTTATGTTTCAATAATTCAGTTGTGCACACGAAAAGAGCAAAGAATTCCGATACAGCCAATGCGACTTCATTTTCGATAATTTATAAAACTCGAAAGGCTACGGTAGCTGTAGTACAGTAGAAAGGATAGCACTTTTCGTAACATTTATGATTTATGATAATGCCTTTAACGAAATACACTTTATAAATGTTTAACTTACTGGCAAGTTTTTGATGCATTCAACTCCTTTGTATTTAAACAAGGTGCTGACTGTTTTGATACAATCCACTTCAAAGAGAAAAACATCGATACGAGTTAACGCTATTGTACTGTGCAAGTCAGTATAGACGATGTATCGAAGATTTTCTACACACTTACTTTTTTCTACAGTGCAAATATTCTTCACGTGAATAGCATACTTTGCATCAAAGCAGTCACAAATGTTTAGTTTGCTGTTGGCCAAGCACGATTGCATACACACCTAAATGTATGAAAGAATGAATGGAGGTTGTCTCGAACAGGTTTACCCCAGCAACGTTTCTGTGCGCACAGATGCTTTAAACGAAGTGTGTGCAAATGTAAACACCTTTCAAAGACTTTGAGCAAAGACTTTGAGGGGCTTTAAAAAAAATGGAGCATGTTCAACTTTGAACACAGAACTTCAAAGAAGCTGCCACTTCTTGGGTTTTGCGAGACTATTGCGTGGCCGAGAAACGAGAGAGCTGTGTCCGTGGCGGTAAAGTCAAAACATTAAAATGTCTACCGAAGTTTCATTCATTCATTTCTGCTGATGAAAACAAAAAAAACAAAGTGCTTTCGGTTTACGGTCGTCCATGTTTGACCTGTTGTCTGTGCAACAGAAAATACTGTGCTTTGACCTTGGACAGTGTGAACGTCAGCAGTTCTGTTCAAACACTGTGCTCGCACACGATGACGTCACTGCATGTGAGCACAGAAACTTTGCTAGTGTAAAGCGTCCTTTAGAATAAGTAACTAAATATTTGATGTAGAGACACGTTTGCTGATAAAGTCAAATTATGTACTATAACAGTTGGAAACAGTTGGTTTTTGTATAATTTTTGTAACAGTACTAGTGTTTGGAGACAATGTCTGGCAGCCCTCTTCTTCATGTAGTTATAATGCATTGCGTAACTAGAAGGTTAATTATTTTAAAAGTGTGTGGTTTACAGTTTGGTTTTCCGGGCTTTTCCAAATTTGTGGGTTTTCTCATATTCTACAATAAATTACTAAAACGAAATTGTCTTTACTAGAACTTTAGGCTGAGCGTTTGAAACTGTTTGGGTTATTTTCTAGAACATACATGAGTGTATTCATTTTCTCTGTCATCTTATTAAGATATAAACTGAGTTTGAGTGTGAGTGAGCTTTTAGAATATAGGCGTTAAAAGGGCCGAGACTACAACAATAATTTGGGGGGTTGTTCATATATTCCGTTCTGCCCAATGGATGCCTTTTGTAAGTGCAATAGATAAGATTATTTTTATATATTTTTTTTTAGATTTTTATTTTTTTTTTTTAAGATTATTTTTAGTGCAATAGATAAGAGACAGAGGTTTAACCTCGGCCTAGCTCGGTCTGACCGACATTTCTTAGGATGTTTTCGATTTGACTATTGTGTTGTCGTTCCAAGCTGATCATATATAACATTCCGTTTGGAAGCGAAAGGCAACCACGATCCTATTTTTCCCTTGCGGTCGTCTCCGGTTTCTAACCGGACCGAACTGCAACCGAACCACTTTACTTTCTCGCTATATTTGTTCGTTTATAGAAATGTGTTATATAAACACAGGGTTTCCGCAATTGTCAACCACGTGGGAGGGAGGAATCTGTGTTAATAGGATATATTATGTATTTTTTCAACATTTCTTTGTTTTTTTTTGTCCCGCATGTAGTCATAGGCCAGTCATATGCAAATAGCTAAGTTGTGGAAACCCTAGCTGCCCAAATAATCGCAACGTCAGCGATATATTTTTTCTACCGGATCCAAGAATATATATCCGCGATATCTTAATGGTTAGTTTTCTTCTAAATATATAGCTACTACACATGCATGCATGCATGCACGTATTCAAAGCAAAAAAACCATGCACACGGCATGAAATTTGACCTTATTTCAAAGCCTTGAAATGCTTCATTTAATAGAATGTTGACATTGTTTGAACAGCTTCTTCGAAAAATTAATTTTTAGCCATACAGTTGACATGCAATATGTCACTTTTATAATATACATAAACATTCAAGCCGAAGCAAATAGCCCTTTTCCGGTGTAAGTAGGTCTCTTTGTTTAACTCTCGATCAAAACTTAATTCTAATTTGTTTTCTAAAAACGTTTTTTTATTTTTTCGAATAAAAACGTTAGCAGAGGCTAATAGCAAGCCAGCGCCCAATAGCCACGACTTGGTTCTGCTTTAAATACAAATTTTGCAACGTTATAAAATTATTTTTATTTTTATTTAGAAATTAATTGCTTTCACGGACAATTAACACCAAAATATTTACACAGCGGTGCAAAAAACTGCGAACGAATATATAAGATTTTGTATACGAATACAAAATTTGATGAGTGTCGCTGCCTCTTCCGACTCAAGTGCATGTTATCATTTGCTTAGCAAAAAGGTAAGATTTTTATGAACATTTTTATGATTTTATTTAACGGGTTTCCATGCGTAGCAATTTGACAAATATTCAGGCATATAACATACTCTAGTCATTGCCTCAAGTAATCATTGACATTGCATGGAATTATATGTTCCAAATGGAAGATATGCTTAATGAAAACATATATCGCTAAAATTTTAACGTTTCGGTCGTGTTGAATCTTCTTTTTTGTCAAATCTTCATTTCCATACGTTCTAATTTCAGTGCATTTTTGAATTTTGCGACAACTAATGTAATTGCATTAAATTGCACAAACTTACTCAGATTGCAGGCGAATAATGCAGATTTGGGCGAAAAGGGTGGGGTAGATAAAAATATAGGCATTTTAATGAATTATTATTTTAGTACTACATTGGGACAATACGGAAGGGATAATTTTCA